ATATGATTTCTTAAGCTATCTTGTATAACTGGTTCTCAGCAATGAACAAATGATATAATAATATTCTGGAATAATATCTCTAACTGTGAAAGACCAAGCACTAAGTGCTAAAATCACTCCTGATAAATTGTTGTGATAAAATTTAGATGGCTGCATTCAGAAAATCTGTAAGCCCTCCATGTCTTCTGGTGCAGTTCTGGTAAATTATTTGTATGTGCAAAGCAATAATAAACTTTTTTTTTAAATGTCTGTACAGGGGTATACAGTTCATTTATCCAGACAGTAATGAATGATACGTATTATGAACTTCATTGTAACAGCATCCAAGGTTATCTGGTTAGTGAACAATATGCCTTGACACTCCTTCCACATCTGAAGAACTTAGCAAGTTGTCTAGAGAATTTTGTTGCTGGTAATCAGTGCTAGATGGAAAGTTTCCTGAGGGTGCTAAGTCTAACTTCCTTTCTAGGTAACAGTTAGAAAAAAAACGTGCACCTGTATTTCCTGTCCTAATGCATACTGGTTTCAGTGGAGCCTGCCGGGCTGGCTGATTGGTGCTGTCTTCCATTTTGCTAGTGAAAAAAGCTGGGGGGCAGGGGGAGAAGAGAGGAAGGAAGGCAAACCTGAAAATAAGGGATACCAGATGGTCTCACAGAGTTAGGTAACTTTAATCTTGAAAATACCCATTCATAAACTGGTTTTAATGAATATTGTAATTCTTTGCCTGCTTAAAATAGATTTTTAAGTCCAATTGGTTATAAATATGTGTTAGACATGGCTAGTGGAAATGGGAAGTGTATGCTGATGTTCGAGTTCTCTATGTTACTATCTTTCTATTATGAAAATTAGAGACAGTTTCTAGACTCAGTGTTATTGAGTTGGCAATCGGTAAAGATCTGTTCCTAGCCATTTTGGCCAGAAGGTTTTTCAAGAGGAGTTTTGAAAAGAACAGGATATGTTTATAATCATATTTGGCAGAGTATTGCTTGCTGTTTTACATGGATTTCTGCAAGAAATATCTTAAGTTGGATCAAGATGCTATACAAAGTTCCTCCCTGTCTGCCCGTGTCCCTGTTCATCACTTAAAGGAAAGAAGCTTGGTTTAATGAACGCTTCTGCAGACCCTGGTAACGGTCGTAGTCAAACTGGTTGCAGAATGTAAGGTCAAGAAACTAAAAATAACACCGCTTGCTTGTGACAGACTTGTCTTCCAATCTTTGTGCTTGTCCTTGTTATTGCCTCCCCATAGACACACAAAGAGAAACATATTTATATTTTGAAGAGGTAATGGTCTGTGGAATAGACTAAAGCCAATCAGCTGTGACTTTTCTATGAGCTAATGAAACAGTTCCTAAGAGACTAAAGAATTACAAAATGAGCCGGTTTTTAGGGATGTCATGGCTGGGTTAGAATAAAACCTCTCCAGGGGAAGAAGCTGAAGAATCGCTATTCTTTGACTCTAAAAGGCAAAGCAAGCTTCAATCTTGATTTAGACTGCAAGAAAAATTTGCCCTGACATTGTGAAGGTCTCAGAAGTGAAGATGTGTCTTGCTTCCTGAAGGTAGGATGTGTTTTTGTAGAAGATGCTATCTATCTTGTTGTTCTGCCAGCCTCCTGGGGGGGCAGCCGCAGCAGCGACCTGTCCCAGCAGAGCTAGAGTCGATGTGTAGCTTCTTGCTGGGTAAAACTGCACTGGACTTCAACCAAAAAAAACCCCAACCCAAACCATGCCCAATACTGAACAAAAACCCCCAAATCTACCAAAAAATCACTCTAGCAGCCCTAGCATAAGCATTCATCGTTCTTAGTTGAGTCTTCTGTTTAGTTTGTAACTTTTAGCAAGTCACTGAACTGGTCTGTGCATTAGTTTCCTCACTGTAAAATGAGGAGTAAAGGAGTGATAAACTTTATCTTTAGTGCAGGCATGCTTAGTAATTTAATTCCTGTTTGTAAAGTGTTCCATGATAATTTGATTTTAATAAAGTAATATTGCTCTATTATAAAATGAACCTCTGCAGGAATTTACAACAAACCTGCTGCTGTAGAGAGGGAGCTTTATCAGAAGATCTGTTTAAGGCAGTAGATAAGTCTCCGAAAATCTGTTTTGGAATCTGATAGTTCAGTGTTTATTTGGCAGCCCGTGTTCCAGATGCTTGATTATTAGGAATGAAGAGGCCATAGAGATGGTAATAAGAAATCTTGCCTAATCAGGATGATGAATCTTCGTTATGCTGGGAGATTGTGCATTCTTTCAGGCAAGCCAACCCAAACAAGCAATACCGCCCTCCCCAAAATCTAGGACCACCATGTGTTTAGGAAGCTCTTCTGTTTCCCGTATGTACCACTGGATCATTTCTGTGATCAGCAGCTGTTGCTGGCCGTACATCTGGACTTCGGTTTCAGAACCTCAGAAAATAAACTAGTTTTATGTTTTGAAGAGATAATGATCTGTGGAACGGACTAACGCAAATCAACAGTGACTTTCCTATGAACTAATGAAACAATTTCCAAGAGACCAAACAGTTATAGAGAGTGGTTGTTTTATTTACCAGTCCTCCATAGGAATCTGTCGGCTGCTCTGTTTCTCATCAGTGAAGAAGAAAGTCAAAATGCTGGTGGCATAAAAGCTGCTGGGCCATGATACACGTGCAGTGACACAGACAAACAGCAGATGCGTGCAGCAACTGGAGGAGGAGATAAAAGAACCGTCCTTTCAATTGCAGTTGCGTCAGCCAAATCACAACCAGCTGGTTTATTGCATCGGGCATTTCTGCTGATCCACCAGAATGCTTACGCATGCTCTCTGCTTCGCACACGCATACCATTGTATCAAAGGCTGGGCTGACTTTTGAGCGTTCTCATCCTGCCTCTGTTTTTAGCCACTGGTTTAGTTTAGGGATGATGTAGACCTGAGGTGCCTGGGGGAGGACTGAAACTGTGGGAGGGATGAGAAAACTGTGACTCAGGAAATTCAGTTTCTCCCTTAGCCCAGCATGCAGCGATGAATGTGCAGACTATTATCCCTGCAATACTGAAACCTGTTTCCCTTGATCGTATTTTTTGGACACTGGAGAGGCCTCTGTGTTTTCTCGTCTGCTTTTTCTCCACTCGGAGCAATTTGTATTTCTAGAGGCATAGTTCAGAAGCAGTCCCTGTATGTACTTCACTGAACTCCAAGGCCAAATGCCCGTGCAGGGGCAACCTCATCTTCAGTCAAAGACAAATCTCAGCTGGCTGACAATGCCGAGTTTTCTAGAGCTTGGGATTGTAGCTAGCCCACATGCCATTAGAGTTTGGGCTGCTAAGTGAGGTCCTAGAAGCATCAAGGAAATGCCTGGTTTATGACTAATAAAATTTAATGGAGCCGTGTGAATATCCAGTGGTAAGCAAAAAATCATTCAGTGCTAGTTTGGACAAAAGCAAGGAATCTGATGTTTTGCAGCCGTGATTAAAACCATTAAATTTACCAGATACTGGCAATTTCTAATCTTTGTCATGGCATAACTGCTTTTTTAAAAAAAAAAAGAAAAAAAAAAAGTCAGACTAGAGTATAACCCAGAAATGTATCTATAACATAGCTATATATACTTGAGCAGTAGTTCTGTAGAAGCTGTAAGGTTTCCCTATATTCCTCACCACTATCACTCTGTATGGCTGTCCTGATGATTTGTATACAAGCTCTAGCCAGAAGGAAGTGGAGCAATATTTATCTGACTTTATTTATTCCCATAAGATGCATCTTGGTAGTGAGGGATACAAATCTCTTATGATGTCGTGTGCAAACGTTGCAGAATTGTGTGAGGCTGGGTGCTCTTGCCCTTTCTGTTTCAGAACTGCGGGAGACTTATCTAAGAGATCAAAGTGCATCAGATTCCATTATTTCAGTATCTATGGGACAGTATAACGCATGACTACGCTGGGATGATGCCTGTGTCTGACTTTTATTCATCATCATAATTAAACCCAGATACAGAGTTTTTGTGCACTGAACATTAATCAGAGCATTTTATTAACACGGTTGTCGAAATCTGTGCTTCAGACATAGTATAATTTTGCAGTGTAGATTAAGACCAGTATTTATTTTGCCTGAATAAATTAATTTTATTTAAAGTTCAGAAAGAGAAGTGATTGCTCTCAGGTTTTGAGCTAACAGGTGCAAGCATAGCTCGACTGCAGACATACCAAACTGCTAAACTGGTTTGGTCTGTACTGTTGCTTAACAGAAAGCAGTTAACTGCTGTATTCAGTGGAAACTCTATAAAAGGCTCAGATAGGCAAACTAATGCTCTAAATTCAGATTTAGTTAAGACACTGAAATTAATATTTTAACACCTGTAGACTTTATTTCATGCTCTATGATAGTACTTGCTTAATTGCCATTGCCAGTTTCTGATGTTTTGGGATTTCTCTTGGTTCTTTTCTGTTTAGGTATTCAGATTTGTATTGCAGTTGCATCCATATATCTTCAATTTAGCTTATGAAATATGACTAAGTCATTGTTTTAGTGTTTGCTTCACAGAGTTCTGTAATGTTATATCTATATATTTGGAGACCTTGTCCTGTGGAGAGTGGCATCCTTGAAAGTATATTGCCCTTCTTGGAAGGAAACAATATCACTTTTAAAATCCAAGCAAAAATACTTACTTGAAGTTGACTGTTAATTCTTTTCTAGGTTAGTGCTTTTTCACCTCTTAGTTCCTGGGTCTCTGAACCTCTATGGGCTGTTTTTACAGTGCTCACAAGAGCTAATAAAATCCCATCTGTAGTCACTAAACTGAGAATACAGGTCCACACCTCTGCTTGACAATTTTTAGGGATCTGCAAATCGGAAACGAGTAAGAAGCACTGCATAGGTAGTGTTACTCTAAGGTCTGTCCTGAGCCAAGAAGACTCCTCTGCCTGCCCTGATAGGGGCATGCCTCTTTAGCTAATGGCATCCATGTGATGCTGCAGTGGCTGTGATGGCCAGGTACGCTCCAGCAGCTGGATTGAGTTAGATGATGGCCATTGGCCCAAACCTGACTGAGCTGCTCAGTTGTTCTCCCACCCTGTCCTTGATTGGAAGTGGTAGTGTGGTACTTAAATTCATCAGAGTGGATTCATACGGTAAGTTGCTTGGAGCTCTGCTGGGTTGTATATAATCCTTCCAGCCAGTCATCTATAAGAACCAGAAATGAGGTGCAAGGAGGGATTTTACATTACGTTTGAATTTAGACAAACTCTCTGGAATTTCTAAGAATTGAAGTTGTATTTATTTTACTGTGTGGCTAAACTACTGAAAGTAAATTTACCGAAGAATGCCCATTCCTTTTGTAAATATAGTGGGTTTCTTGATTTACAGTAGATGGAGTCAGGTATTCAGAGACACAATGTTTAATAACTAATCAGTTTTATTTTTAAAAATCCTTTACGAAAGAAAAAATACTACCCACACAAAATTTCATGCTCCAGGTAATCTTTGTTTTCCTTTATAAACTGTATCCTTGTTCAATGAGTAACCTGTTTTTTCTTACCTCCCAGAAGAAGCAAGATGACCTAGATCTAGAGCTTCCTGGGGAAAAGTTCACTTCACCCTATATATAGCTTCTCCTGAAGTGTCTTTATGTAGCTGTCACCTACTCTGAGCTGATAAACTGAGGAGAAAAGAGCTATAGTTTTGGGCTGAAGTAGAAAAGGAGGGTGTTTTATCCTTCCTCTCTTTTTTTGGGTCTAATAAATACATCTTATGCACATGCCACTAGTTGGATTCCAGCGTGGTGAAGGCCAGACTCCCAGCTGCCACACACAGAACTTCATGTCTCTGTGTCTCTTCAGTGTGCTGCGGCTGAATAATGACCAATTACCTCTTGGTTAACGAGTGAATTAGATCATGCCTTTGTGCTGGCAGGAGTTTCTACAGTGGACTCTGAACGTGATATCCTGGGGTCAATGTGTTCTTCGCTCTGGTCGGATCACACAGATGGAGATTCCTCCAAGCAGCGCTGCTGGCGTGGCAGTATTTTAATCGAAAGCAAAAACTGGGAAAATGGTAGTAACAACTACGTAACAGATGCTACCAAACAGGCTGTTGGTGTTGAGGGAGCAGACAAATGTTTCCACCTCAGGGTAGCGAGTCAAACAGTGAAGAGTACTGTAGGCTGGGGGAAATTTGTCCATCCCTTTGTCAGCATAAGGCATTTTTTTAAATGTAGGGAAGTTTATCTGAGTCAGTGCGTCAGCAGCTTGAGCTATTTGGGCTTCTGCAGCCTTTCTGGGGAGAGAGGAGTGCTTTCTGTGTCCCTAAAGAAAGTGCTGCCATCTAACGACACCACGTACTCCTCTCCTGGGGCCTTAACCACACCAGGGACGAGTGCCAGTGGAAAGCATTGGTGCCCCTGTGTTGGGGTGTGTACACCTCTGGCATGTGAGGAAACTGGCATCAGCATTTGTTTAACTTGATTTGAGGCAGGATTCTGCTCCAGCACTTACAAATAATGGCTTTGACAGACACTGCTCAGGAGTGAACTCAGCCAAGGCCAAAGGAGAGGCTTGGGGGCTATTTCTGTGTTCAGAGTACCATGAGCTGAAACCAGGTGAAAATTTTGTGTGCCTCATGATCCGTGTCGTGTGCATTCATGTTTCTGGCGCAAGGAGGTCTGATATAACCATCTGCTGCTGCCAAAAGCGATTGCCTCGCTTTTCCCACTTGCAGCCGTGTGCTCTGCAGTCTCTTCATGGTGGCTCTGGTGCTTATCTGATCCCTCAGTGAGTCAGCTCATACCCTTCAAGTGTTTGAAATGGGTTCTCTTGCTCTTGTTTTCCTCCCGTCAGCTTAGTGAACCAAACTGACTTCTGGTGGAGATTGGCTTTATCTGCACTCTTTGCCATCTATATATTGCATTTTACTTTGTGACATTTCTGGAAAGGTCTAGAGGTGTCAGGTATTAGATGTGTGCTGTTACCACCAAGTATTACAGGAGTTCTGGCTTCTCCATGTTGCAATTAAGGATATACTGGGACTTAACTGCATACCAGAGCATGCACAGAATGAATATCTGATACTGGTTTGGGCAGGGAGTGTATGTGGCAATGGTCTGTACGTGAAGTGCAGTCTAAAGGTGCCATTTCTAACAGTGGGGTGGTGATTTCAGTTGGAGGGATTTTGCTGCTTCAGGACAAATCTCTGATGTAGTCAAAGCCTTAGTTCTGTTTTTCTTAAATGTGATCTTTCTGGTTTAAAAAAACCAAACCAACAAAACATAATAAATAATATAAATCTGTCTACCACAACCGCCATTAAAGATGCTTGGATGCTTTTCCTCACTATTTTATTTTTTAAAGATGCTTCATTAACGTTATCTAGCAGTTCATAAGTATATTTGGTAAGTACAGGAATGGGTGAAGACTTTCACAGCCTGTTCATGTTGCGCAGCGGACTGTGATATCCCTTGGGACACAACTGACTACAGTAACATCATTCATCTGCATTGTGGGGTACTGCTCTGCCTCTTTCCTCACACAAGCCTTCCAGTTATGACTCTGTGGATGGTTTCCAAAGTCTGAACATAACTTGGCAAGCTTTGTCACTGCTGTTAGGAGTTTGATTACCTTTGTGCATATGTATGTGAGGACTGCCAGTGTATGTGGCTTTTAATAAAACAACCTCCCTGTTGTCTAAAACATTTAGAATTAAGAAATTATATAAGTATGCAAGAGCAGAAGCTAAGCTGGCCACCTCAATTTGGCTTTCCTGTTTTATATGTTGTGACTCCTTATTCTAGTTTGGTGTCTGTCAAGAGAGGCTACTAGTTTCCTATTGGAGCCAGCCTTACTTAAAGCAAATTAAGGGACAAAATGCTGTTTCAAGAACTAAACCTGAGAAGCAAATCTTGCTGCTTTTTCACGCATCCACTTACGCAGTGTTACCCACTCTTGTCATTTCTGTGGTATGCCATGCTCTTGCATAGCTCGAACCCTCTTGCTCAATACCTTTCTGTTTAGTTTTCTGAATTCAGAACCAGTAACACTGAACACGAGCAGTAAACACAATCTTTACAGTTTTTTGGATCTAATGAGCTAAGTTGCACTTGGGCTTTTTTTGTAGGTCTCTAAGCCAAAAAGCCGCAGGAGATGGGGCTGCCATGGCAGTGAGGGACCCCTTTCCTTGTCCGTCACTGGTAAGCAAACAGCCCAGCACATTGTCGGGGCTGTGGGGCACTGCAAAGCTGTAGAAATAGTTTTCTGAATGAGACCGCTTGCTGCCCCTAATGTTTCCTTGGTTTATTTCACAAAATATGCTGGCCAGGTTTCAGTTTGAATACAGTAATGCATTTCAGCTGGACGGAATATAACTATTTAAATTAGACCAATAGCTATTGCCCTTTCTCCCTTAAAAAAACTTAAGAAACACATCAAACTGAAGTAAGATACATTTTTTTTCAGAATCCTTGATGCAGAATGGTTAGCGTGTTCCAGCAATAAAGTGTCTGTATATCAACATAGGGTGCAGTAATCCCACGTATACGTGTTCACTGATGATCTTACATTTTGCTTGCCACAAGCCAAATCTTTGTCAGTGGTGCAGCTGCCCGGGGCTACTCAAGCAACACAAGTGGGTTGGTAAAACTTCCAGCTAGCATACTGTCAGCAGGATAAGCTTTATAAATGTCTCTTCTGAGGCCTGCCTTCGCTCCTGCTTCTACTTGTGGGGCGTGCTGCAGGAAACCGGGTTTGGCCAAGAACCCCTGTGCTTCCGCAGTAGGTGTTTTCCACCAGTGGGCTATCGAAAACCCGGCAGAGATCAAACCAGCATTGTTAATGCAAAGTGATTTTTGTCAAAAAATTTCTTTTCTCATTTTTAAAGCTTTTATTTTGTTAGTGTCTTAAACTTCCAGGTGGATCCACTCATGACAGTGTTTGCAGACATTTATAATAGCTTCAGCAAAACGAGGCTCAGATTTAATGAAGCATTATTGTCTGTATTTTATTTAAATTAGCTTTGAGTTAAATACGGCAAGCATTATTGCTAGTTGTTACACTGCATCATAGGTTATATTAATTTGGATAACGGCCCTGTTTGGTACAGTGTTGGAAACTGCGTGTTAATAAGTGTGTGAATTGGTCTGTTTTCTGGTGTCTGTGAACAAGGGGATGTATGGGTAGTTACGCATATGCTCAGTGAAGTTATTTTCTGCAGATAATGTATGATTTTTACAAGATGCTGGTTAAGCTTTGCCCTTACTACTCCTACAGGGAGCCTCTTTTGATCAATCGAGAAGTAAGACTCTAAAAGCTATTTCACAATTCTAGATTATTTATGGCAAACTTGCACCTATTATTCTTGTACCAAACAGATCTTTAGTTGTTTTTGTGATGTTTACTCTCCTGATTTATTTAGAGATCAGTCCTATATCCCTTTCAGCCTTTGTTTTTCTAGGCTAATGCTTCTATTTTTATTTTGTTTGTTAGTGGATGTGGTATTCAAGCAACTTGGTTTTCCTGAAAAACAAAATCTGTCTTGTCCATAGTCAGTGAAACTAAAAAATAAAAATAAATTAAAAAAATTTATTGCAGTGAATTTTGTCATGGTGACTGATAATGGAAGTCATAGACAATATTTGCTTTAAATCTGCAGAACATGCAGCTCAGAAGTCCAAGGGGCAAGCACCTTTTCATGCGCTGCTAGCCATTATCCCCTCTCACTGGAGTAAACAATTCCATAACATGCTGAAGACCTCACCAGGAACGCAGCGGTACGTGAAGTGATACAAAAAAATCAGGAGCAGGCCCGTAAGTTACTTCAAGGCTAATTTCTGTACAAAGCTTCAGCGGAGCAAAGAAATTTTCTTTAACCTGATCTGCCAGTCTGAAACTGCTCCACAGGGTACTTGCTTTATGGCTTTCAACAGATTTCATTTGAGGAACGTCAGGCTCATTTTTGCTGAAGTTCATGGAGAAAGCCATGCCCAGCCCTTTTCTGCCCCTAAGGAAGCATCTGGAGCTGCCTATCTCCCAAAACGATTGGTTTATTTCTGCTTCTAGTGTCTGATCCAAAACAACAAATGAAAGAACAAAAAATTGTTTGCTGCAGTGATTTCTAACTTACGTCTTTACTGCAGCGGAGATGTTGCTATAGGAAAGGAGGTATCCCAAATAAAGACAGGAATTTGGACTCATCTCGTTGCCTATTTGGTTCAGAGATTACTCAGCAAATCTCTTAGTGCCCTCAGGGAAGCAAGCACCTTCACTGACTTCACTTATCCTCAGTGGTGCATAAGGAGACAAAGTGAGTTTAGTCCTGTAAGTCCCGGGACTTGGAGGAGCAGCACTAAACGCTATCCACTTCCCAGGCTACTCTCTGGTGCACCCGCTGCCTCAGAGATACATTTGAGAGGTGTCCTTCTGGGGGACTGTATGGTGAGCTAAAAAGTCTAGAAAGATAACTAAAATATATCTGTAGTAATTGAGCGATGATATTTCTGCTTATGGAGTTAAAATCTGAGCAAGAAGCTTCCCATCTTCTTTTTCTCTTGTCTTCAAGCCTATCTAGCTATTACAGTTATCTCTGTAGTTACACCCTAATGCCTCCCAAAGTAACAAGGTGTATTTTAGACTAAATGCCATAAATTAAACCTAAAAAAACTCCCAGGGTTTTCTTAATAGCTGTTTTGCTGTGGCTGTGCGTATTTTCTTGACTCGATAACATACCGAATACCTCCAGCTTTACTGTCTCAAAGCTTTCCACCTGTAGCTCAGTGTTACTCCATTTACGGTGTTTTATTGGGACTGCGGTTTGCCTGTGTTTGTATAAACTGGCAAAACTTATTTTAGTGATAGTGTGGGTTGTAGTGGGACATAGTTATTCCACCCTAAACATTAAGGCAGGAGAATAAAGTTAGTAAAAGTATTTCTTCATATCTTCATAAAGCCTGAAGTTTCAGTAACATGATGTTAATGCCATTAGGCTTTCATTCCTGCCTCTGAGGGGCATCAAAAGTAGCACGTACCTCACCTATGGTAGAGTTATGCTTTGGTGCAGGGCCTGAGCAGTTCCCTTCTACCCATGTGTCTAAATTGTAGTATTTGAAAGTCACAGGTAACGTTCTTGGGAAATTAGTGCTTTTAAATTTGCGCAGGTAACCTTTGTATTTCCGTGTGATCTTCTCAACTCCAGTCCTAAAACTGCATCATCTATTGTATTAGGTGTTCAGGGTTTCTGGTGTGCTTCACACAACATGAAAGATTCCTCATTGCATATGGAGGAGCTAAGGCTGGAGATCTCCAGGCTTCGCAGCCGCTCTCATACGGGTGCGTCAGGGTGAAATGGGCCTTTGTCTTCCAACCAGTCAGTCCATATTCAGAAAAATGACCTCTCTGTGTTCACGTCCCTCCTCTCAAACAGTTTTCTGTTCTTCTGAGATTTCGTAGCAGCCTAAGCCTTAATTCCGGCAAGTACTTAAGTAGGCGCTCAAGTGCGGTGTCCCTGGTAGTCTGGTGGTGACGAGGTGGCAGTTGGTGGGCCCGCTCCTCCCCGGCTCTGTCGCTGTGGTGGCTGCATGGGTATGTGCTGAAACAAACCACCCCGTCCCTGACGTTGAAGTGGAAAAACCCTCATGGCTCCATTAAAAACCCTTAGTAAGTCTGCTATTGGGGTAGTAGCGGGGACATTTGTAGTGCATGTGAGTAGCTAGACTTTATTGTCTGATACTTGCAATCAGCAGGACAAATCCCTTGTGGAAAACAAGTTTTCCTTCACAAAGCCGGTTTCGGTGTAAACAAAGCTCTTGCCACCTTCCACGAGAGCAGGGGTAAGCAGGGGAATGGCCTGACTAAATAGAGGCTTTCCTTCATCCCGTTGGGGCTGAACAAGGTGAGATGGGGGCTGCAGAGGCTGGGCCAGGCTCCATGCTCCCCTTCTCCCCTCCTCGCCCTTGCAGAGCTCTGGACCTGCTTCAGTTCCCCCTTCAAACCATCTAGTCTGAAAGCACCTGTGCTGAAATGAACACAAGTATTTTTGGTGTAAAACCAGCACAGGCAAGATCCAAAGAAAAAAAAAAAAAAATAATTGACTAAAAATATTGATTAGACACGTGGTTGCTTATACAGTTAGTGATGGTCGTCATACCTTACTCATCCGTGAAGCCGAATGTATGCCGCTCGCCCTGGTTGCACCAGCAACTGGCTGTATGTTTCATACATAGTGGTAAAATGAACGTGTTTTCTGGTGAGAGATTAAAGAAAAGACCAGATGCTCATTGAACTGTCTCTGTGCATTGAGAACTTTAAGTAGGAAAAACACATTCTGGAAATATTTTGCTTGTATAACTGACTCCTGAGAAGAGCTATTTATGATTTTTCTACCTGTTCTTGGCACAGGCCTTTTTTCTGTTACAAGAGGTTTGACAGTTGTATGAGATCACACTTGGATTCATGCCCTGCGAGCTAAAAATGCAGAGTCATTGCTTGTGAGGACAAGACTTCGCTGGAAAAAATAGAAACATTGCCCTTGTGTTCACTGCTAATACTGCATCAGAAAGTGGAGCTTCGTCAAGCTTTAGTGTGCCTTAATATTTGTACAGTCCTTTCTTGCTTTTTAGATAAAGCCCTGCTTTAAAAAAAAAAAACCAACAAACCAACAGATTTAGTAATAATTGTTTAATGCCTGAGACATTCCTTTAAGATTAATAAATGACTGGCTGAGGCGAACCCATAGCCTGAGTTGGTGCTTCTGGCTGTTTACTGCTGCTGCTCGTTAGCTCAGAGTTGAAATAATTAATGTTACTATCAAATGATGCTAAACAAATAGCTGAA